ACTGATATTAATAAAACAAAGTAACAAGTACTGTTAGACATGATGAAATTTAACCATTCTTAAAATGCTTTTTTCTACTATTATTGTGTGTAAAATAAATCTCTCAACAGGACAAAAAATCCTAACTACTCAATAGTCATACTATGTACAATTAGATCATGAAAATGAAATGAAAATTGGCGATTCAACACCAAATATGTAGAATTGTAGAACGTAAATAACTATATCAAAGAAATCTCATACCTGAATTAATGGAAATATGCAATTTCTTTTAATGAAGTAGATAGGTAATTAATATCTTTCAATTTTTCTGTTTTTATAATAATAACTATATGTATTTGCATCATCAAATAATTTGTACAATAAATCATTGATAAATAATAATAATAGGTAATAGTACTTGATAACCCTCCCATAAGTATGGTCCGTGTTAACTTTTTAAGTTCGTCATTAAACAGTGTTTTTTATGTTATGATGCGTATCCCGTTTATTTCACTATTACCTACCACACACGTATTATGTAGATTGTTCCATTATAAATATGCATTAAATTTAATGAATCTTTTGAAACAATCGCATAGTTATTAATTAATTATTTAATTTACACACAAAAAGTGATTGTAGGCTCAATGTAACGTTTTGATCGCAGAATTTAGGTGTAATTTTTTAYAAGAGAATGCTCTTTTCATTGATTACAATCAGATTTATTATATATTTTTATATTACAGAAATGAGAAATATTATACTTGCTGCGAAGAACCATACTTAGACATTACATTCAATATTACGATGCGGAGGAAAACGCTATTTTATACGGTGAATTTGATCATACCTTGTATGGGGATATCGTTTCTCACGATACTTGTGTTTTACCTACCATCAGATAGTAACGAAAAAGTAAGTAACTATTAAAAATATATAGGTATTTTAAAAGTTATAACCTGAAAAACACACTTGATACATGTAAATAATAATATTATGAAATACATTTTAGGTTAGTTTAAGTATTTCAATTCTTCTATCGCTGACTGTGTTCTTTCTGCTGCTAGCCGAAATTATTCCACCCACGTCACTAGTTGTGCCACTTTTGGGAAAATTTGTGCTATTTACGATGATACTTGACACGCTAAGGTGAGTTTACTATCGATACTGAACATTAWTGTGTCACGTAAGCTGTGTAATATGTTTTTGAAGGATTGTAATTAATTTTTCAGTATATGTGTCACAGTCGTTGTGTTAAATATACATTTCCGATCTCCCACTACACATGTAATGTCACCTTGGGTTAGAAGAGTATTCATTCACATTCTACCGAGAATGTTAATCATGAGAAGACCGCACTACCAAATAGAAAGGAAGAGGTAATTGTGTAAACATAATGTGTGCAATCATGGTTCCAATAATAACAATAATACTGATGTAATGATTTAGTCTGATGGGAACATGTCATCGTATTATGTTGAGGACGTGCAATGGGCTTGAGCTTAGAGATCAAGATTCAGCAGATCAGTTAATGCACAGCAACGATGTATTTCCTGCCAGGTATAATTTAGTTCAAAGAATATCTATTTTAGTCACTATTTGTTTTTGTTATATCAGCTGAACTTTATATTTATATTTATGTTAATATTTATAGGGATTTAGAAAGCGGTGTAATTGGCTGTTGCGAAATACACGGCCCGATAATAGGATTACCCAGCTCATCCGAAATAAACCAAAATGCCCCAATTCGTAAGGGTAGAAAACATTGGCACGATTGTCCAGAACTTCATAAGGCGGTCGAAGGCGCTGCGTACATAGCTGATTACATAAAAAAAGAAGAAGAAGAAAAAAAGGTAAATATATGTAATTATTGTTTGAATAACAGTCAATTCAGCTTAATTGTTTAAATTTGAATATAAAATACAAATGTCTCAAATACATGATTTAATTTAGATTAAAGAAGATTGGAAATATGTGGCGATGGTGCTGGATAGGTTGTTTTTKTGGATATTCACGCTGGCCGTGACCATGGGATCAGCAGGGATAATTCTACAGRCACCCACWTTGTATGACAATCGGTTGCCAATCAATGTTCGATTGTCGGAAATACTTGCCAATACACCAACAGTTAAACAGAATTATAATAACATTATGTAGAGACGATAATTGCTCAATACGATCATTATTGGACGAGCCAGTGACATACAACACTAGTTCGGAAAAGCGAACGTTAGAGTTCTACTACCATCACAATAAGAACAAATCAGATATAACTTATATATTTTAAATTATATAAAGCATCATAATTAATAAAATGCGGGATGAGGGACCAACAAATCAAGGACTGCTGGTCGTAATGTGTACAATAGTGTCAATTCTGATATTAGATACTATTTTCATGTTCACAAAATTAGCAAATCACATAGATAGATATTTTTAGATAATTTATTTATAAATCAAATATTTATGAACAGTATAATATAATATATATAATATATTTATTTAAAAAAAAGTACATTAAATAGAACCTGAGATGGTTGTAAGAGAAATATTAATCTTCTCACCTATTATTTTTCTTGTAAAAAGAAACATATTATAAATCATGTTACCAAAAACAGGTAAAAAAACTTCATAGTAATATGTACATAGAATTATGTTACTTGTGAAAAATAAATGAATATATTTGATG